CTTAAACTTTCACTGCTGTACCTTCACATTTTCGTATGTGAAGCAGGCTCTGCATTGTACACTCCACTCCCATCAAGGTGTATATGTGTGTGTGTATGTATCTTTGACTTGCTTATGGTAACCCCATAAATTCTATAGGTTTTCATAGGCAAGGAACCCTCACAGGTAACTTTTTTTTCAGGTCGGGAATGACTAGAGAATCTGCAAGTCACTTCTGGTGTGAGACAATTGGCCGCCTGCAAGGACATTGCCCAGAGGATGCCCAGATGTTTGATGTTTTACCATCCTTGTGGGAGGCATCTCTCATGTGCCCACATGGGGAGCTGGAGCTGCCAGAGGGAGCTCAACCCGCTCTGCTCGGATTCAAACCGCTGATCTGTCGGTCAGCAGTCCTGCCAGCACAAGGGTTTAACCCATTGTGCTACTGGGGGCTCCTATAGATAACTCCTATAGATAACAATTTGCTACTGAGCACAATTCAAGGTGCTGGCTTTAGCCTATAAAGCCCTGCACGGTTCCGGCCCCACCTACCTCTCCGAACGCATCTCCGCCTATGAACCGGCGAGGATGTTAAGATCGTCCGGGGAGGCCCTGCTCTCGGTCCCGCCAGCATCACAAGTGCGGCTGGCGGGGACGAGAGACAGGGCCTTCTCGGTGGTGGCCCCTCGGCTATGGAATGCTCTACCAGCGGAGATCAGACAGGCCCCTTCGCTATTGGCGTTTAGGAGACGGGTTAAGACGTGGCTCTTCGAACAGGCGTTCGGATAAGCATGCAATAACATCTGACTCAGATAGACGGCATACTGAACAAGGAATGGTAAAACGACTGTGAGATTGGATCTGATTCTATTCGAGGCTTGATGACGTTATGTGTATTGTCTGTCTATGTTTGTCTTATATATTGTTCAATGTCGCACATTTTTTACTGTAAACCGCTTAGAGTCGCCTTTTTGGCTGATATAGGCGGTATACAAAAGGAGTAAATAAATAAATAAATAAATAAATAAACAAACTTTGTCAGCTCCTTAATCTGAAACATAGCCTATAGCATCCAACATGCATTGGCAGCTACCCAACCAAGCACTAACCAGAGCCGATGCTGTTTAGGATGGGTCAACATGAGTTTAAAAACCATACTCATTCTGAAGCCAGCAGTACCTGTTTTCACAAGGCAAGAAAAAAAGGACTTTTTATTTCTTAAACTGATCTTGTTCCATATGAAGCAAAGTCAATGAATACTCTGGAGTAGGGGTCCTCAAACGTTTAAAGCAATGGACTGGTTTATGGTCCCTCAGACTGTCTGAGAAGCACAAACAAATCCCTATGCACACTGCACATATTTTACTTGTATTGCAAACAATCATGAAAAAACAATACAATCTTTAAAATAAAGAAAAAATTAACCAACCTAAACATACCAGTATTTCAATGGTAAGTGTCGGCCTTCCTCTGGCTGGTCAGATAGTCACATTAATTAGAATTTTTGTTGTTTGTCTTCAAGTTGTTTCAGACTTGGGGTGACCCCTAGTCTAAAGTTTAGAACAAGGGGTGGGTCGATGACCTTGGAGAGCCGCATCTGGCCCGCGGACCTTAGTTTTGGGATCCCTGGACTTGAGTGTCCAGGAAACTATGGAATCTGGCTGTATTTAATGTGATCCATTATTCACACATCCCACCCCCATCATCACCTTCCCCAGAGCTGGGGATGGATCATTCTCATGTAAACATTGCCACTACCAGGCTGCTCCTGTTCCTCTTCTCTCACCGCTCCTTTCACCCTTCCTCTCTCTGAGTCAAGTGGATGCCCTTACAAACATTAACAAAGGTTTCCAGGAATGATTAGGTGCTCTGTGACCACCATGTCAGTACAGCACTCCACACCAGTCCCATGCTTTCCTGCCTATGTAGATGCACCCTACGTTTCTGAACACACTGACCTTTTACTTAACCTGATTATACTATATTAAGGGGAGATCACAATGCATTATATTGTGTGAACATTCCGAATAACTCACATGATTGAATAACTCACTGGATGAGAAACGACTTGGAAGGGGTGCAGAACTAACCTTAAGGAATGGGGCTACACAGTGGTGTCCATGACTTGTGAGTGTGGAGAAGAGCAAACCACAGATCACCTACTACAGTGCAACCTGAAACCTGTCACATGCACAATAGAGGGCCTTCTCACAGCGACACCAGAGGCACTCCAAAGTTGCCAGTTTCTGGTCAAAGGACATTTAGCATAATGCTGTTTTTTTTTAAACGTTGTGTTTTTAAATGCATTTTAACTGTACCCTCAACTCGCTTCTAGCACAATAAATAAATGACATGACTGAAGATGTTTATTTTGTCTAACCCGTACAGTTTACCATAGTTATATCATCCTTACTTAGTGTACTTTTTTGGCTTATTTGCAGTGTCAGAGAAGCTCAACCTCATCTTAAATGCCCTTCTAATGCCATTTTACCCTTTTGACACTCTTTTATTACCAAGTATTCCTTGTTTCAATTTTCTTCCTTCCAATAAAATGTTGATCTTTATTGCAGCAGAGAAAATTTCTTTGAGTATTTCAAACTCCAAGCAGTACAAGTCATCCAATTTCTCGACTAGTTCCTACTTAAAATAAAATCCTCTTAAGTTTCACTAGAAACTACAACAGCCATTTCACTGGTCTGTGTGGTCCAATTAAAATATTTTTTCTACTGCCTACTATTTTGCTTTTCCTCCATTCCTACAGGCTGCCCACATCATGCATAAATGTGCACAACTGAAACTGTATAATTAGCCCATGGGTTCCTAGAAATTGGGAATATTGCCTTATGAAATATTCAGCAATCCAAAATCTCATTTCACATGGGGTTATATGTTTACACTGCCCACCCAGATCTATTTGTGGATGACCACTCCAAACTATAAACCAGATTATGTTAACAAATGCTTACAATAAATGGTTTCTGGTGCCTGGTGTTTGTTAGATTTTAAAATAACTTTCTCGGAAAACATGACTGTATTTCAATTTCAGGTCATTTCTGCAGAAGCCTGCATGGTCCAGCATTGGAATCCTATAACTCCGATAAATAAATTGATTTTTTTTTTCTTTCCAGGTTGTTTTATAAAACATTGCTGTACACTTTCAAAAGCAGTTTCCAATCTCTGTAAACCCTAAAGTGATTTTACATTAGGTTTTCTGTGTCAGAATTGTTCAGAGCAGGTTTGCCATTGCCTTCCTCTGCATCTGAGAGAGTATGCCTTGCACAAAGTCATCCAGTGGGGTTGCCATGGCTGGGCTTTATAACAACAGGATAATATGTGTGAACTACAAACCGCAGTGTCCCTGGTTCAGATCTTTCTCCTACAATGAACTCAGGCCCCATCTACACTGCCATATAATGCAGTTTTAGAATACAAATGAACTGCATTGATCTGGATTATATGACAGTGCAGACTAATGCAAGCCAGTTCAATGCAGTTCGATCTACATTATACAAGTCTACACTGACCATTATAATGCAGTTCAAACTGCATTATATGGCAGTGTAAATGAAGCCTTGTTGGAAGAATTTTATGTAGCTACTCATCCTTTGTATTCTCTCATTTAGAAAAAATGCCAGTATGGTGTACTAGTTAGAGCATTGGGCTACAGCTCTGGAAACCAGAGTTTGAATACTTCCTCAGCTATGGAAACCCTTGTGTGGTGTTGAGCAAGTCACATTCTCTCAGCTTCAGGCAATGGCAAGCCTCCTTTGAACAATCACTTCTACACTTTGCAAACACATATAAAAAAAGTACAAAATTTTAGTTCTGCCCCTGCCTGGTACTATACTCACTACACCTCTCAGAAGTCTTATCAAATGTGTCAATTTGAGCCAGGCCCATAACCAGGATTTTGATTCTGGGAGGGGGGGGGGTGCAGTTCTACCCTAGCAAACCTTTTGTATCATTACCCCAATACCCCCATGCATATGGGATATATTGAGCATGGTGATCAGATCATGATATGAATAAACATAACAGTTTAAATAATGTACCAGTGAGGCCTTCTCGCGGACCACCCTGAGAATTTGGGGAGGGGGCTGAAGCCTCTCAAGCCCCTCCCCCAGCTACATGCTTGATTTGAGCTAAAGGTAACTACTACCCATTGTTGATTTTGGCAGTTTTTAAAGATGCACACAGAAGATGTCATAATCCCATTACTCAGTAATCACTCAGTAATTATGTCTTTGGGATCCCTAGGTAAAGAACCACAATTCTTCCAATTCACAAAATGCTTCTCTGTTCATTCACTCTGGGTTTAACCCATTGGTGGTGCAATGGGTTAAATCAGTGGTTCTCAACCTGTGGATGTGTTGGCCTACAACTCCCAGAAATCCCAGCCAGTTTACCACCATTAGGATTTCTGGGAGTTGAAGGCCAAAACATCTGGGGACGTACAGGTTAAGAACCACTGGGTTAAACCCAGGACTGCTGACCAACAGCAGGAGGAGAGCTGGTTGAGCTCCCTCTGTCAGCTCCAGCTCCCCATGCAGGGACATGAGAGAAGCCTCCCACAAGGATGGTAAAACATTAACATCTGAACGTCCCCTGGGCAATGTCCTTTCAGATGGCCAATTCACTCATACCAGAAGCCACTTGCGGTTCCTCAAGTCACTCTTGACACACACACCACAAAACAATTTTAGAATACAGTATATTCTGGCGTATAAGACTACTTTTTAACCCAAGAAAATCTTTGCAAAAGTCAGGGGTCGTCTTATACGCAGGTGTAGTCTTATGCATGGGAGTCATCTTAACTCTATTTTTTAACTGGAAAAGTTGGGGGTCGTCTTATACGCCCAGTCGTCTTATATGCCGGAATATACGGTAATTAAAAACAATTCCTTGAAGTCTTCTGGTGTGACAAACTAGTGGGTTTTATATATTCCAATTAAGACAAGCTCAAAACTAGGGGGAACACCTCATAATGCACAAATACACAAACATACACATACAGAACCTACCTTTCAGCATTCCCAACATTGCCACTACACCCCACTGCGAAGTCAGCCATAGTGTAGAATAAATGGTTGTTCTCTTAGAAGTCAGTTTCCAATTCAGAGAAGTCATGCTGCCAGCAGTGATGTACGCTTTCTTTGGCCCTTGCAAGTTCTTTTGCTTCCCCACATTTACATGACTGTAGAAAGACCAGTTCCTGCTGTACAAATAACTCTACCTCTTTCTGAAATTATTTGCCCATGCATCTGTTAAGAGGACAAGGGCAGCTTTGTTTCAGTGTCCTCTCAACCCAATACGGTTACCTGTATCCACAGCAACCATGAAATCCGCACAACTTTAATTTCAATAGAAGCCAGAGGCCAGGCAAACATCCATTTAATGCATCTGAGAAAGAAGGAGGGGTGTTTGTGTTTGGCTTTGTTTAATTTCAGTGGGAAGCAATTAACACTGCGAGACATCCTAAATGCACGCAGGCAAAAATTAACTTGTTTCCAGACCAAGAAATGAAATTATTTTCAAAATTGTTATTCTACAATTTTAGCCTTAGTCACAGCAGCAACCACTGGATGTTTGTAACCCTTAAACAAGCTCTTTATATGCAGGGACCACATTTGTCTTGTTGGCATAAACTAGACCAGGCCATTTTCCTGGCAACAACAGAAGTGTTTAAGTGTGGATAAAAAGCAATGGATCCCCTAAAGAAAATACCTGGATCTCTCAAAACAAGTACCAAAACAAGTATAATAATTTTACAAAGTGGAAATTATTATATTTCAACAATATAGCATTTATGTATCATAGACAAATGGATCTCCAATTAGGCAAAAGATGAAAAAATGGGTGTGGAGGGGTTACTATCAGAGGGGTCCTTACATTGCAAATACACACACAGTAATCCCTCCATTTTTACAGCTGTTACAGGTGCAGTCTCTCCCCATGCAAAAATGAAAAAATGGTGAATATCTCTGGTGGAGAATGGGACACAGCTGCCATGATCCCCAGGGCATGTATGTTATCCATAATCCCAAAGGGAAAAGGAGGAAGAGCCTGCTCCATATACCAATTTACTTACCCTGTGCATCTCAGCTCCTTTTTCTTTTCCCGCATGTCTAAAGGATTAATTTCACCGAGCAAAGGAAAGAAAATACCAAAGGGAACAAAAGCATATGGCAAACAGGAAAAGAGGGAGGAACCAGTCCTATGCACACCTGAGGCATCCCTTACCTTTGGAATCCACTCCTTCATACCCTACTTCTGTGCCCTTAGTGCCTACCTTCCTTTGCCCAGGTGAAACACATTTATGGCACATAGAAAGAGGATCTGGAGCTGCAGGACAAGTGAAGTGGCATGCAGGGCTGGTTCCTCCTTTGCCAGTGCCCAGGCTGGGTGACAGGAACATGGGACATGCCCACCTCTTAAACAGCTACCCTGTTCACTTTTTCAAGTCAGCGCTGCAGTATGGATGTAAACACAGCTGCCCATCTTCGAGAGCCAAGAATGGCACAGGTAGTACTCCTTTGCCTCTCCCAATTTACTGAGTACAGGGCTGCTGTGCGAATATTTACACAGTAGTTCCAACTTTGGGAGGTGGGGGCAGAAATACTCATAAATAATCAAAATCACAATTATTGTTGAAGGCTTTCATGGCAAGAATCACTGGGTTGTTGTGGGTTTTTTGGGCTGTGTGGCCATGTTCTAGAAGCATTCTCTCCAGACATTTCGCCGGCATCTGTGGCGACAGACGCAGGTAACCGTCAGGAGAGAATGCTTCTAGAACATGGCCATACAGCCCAAAAAACCTACAACAACCCAAAACCACAAGTATGAAACCTGCAAGAGTGGAGGACAACTCTATACTTCTAGTTGTGAAGGTTTCATTTTGACTATTCATGTTGTTATCTTTTAAGCTTCAGTTCCATCAAAGCCATAGTAGTCAGGGGCACAAGGAATCCTGAATGCTGGCACTGTGGGTAATGTTGCCCATCCCTTCCCACGATATCTGAACTGATGTCTTATTAGTCTGACTGACCTTTCTTATTGAGAATAAACACATTCTCTTCTCTGTTTTAAATACTTATTTTTATAAGCCTTTTCCTGTTAACAACACAATTCAACATAAGCTTTCTCATAAGTAATCCCCATTGAGTTGAGTACGACTCAGTCTCAGACACATACTCATATCTTTGCAACTCAGGGTGCATCTACACCTATATTTCCCAAACTCTAGTTTTTCAGGTGTTTTGGACTTCAACTCCCAGAAACCTCAACTGCTGAGGTCAATAGTCAGGGAACCTGGGAACTGAAGTCCAAGATGACCATGATTTGGGGGAAAAAAATAATCCACACTGTGGAATTGATAAAATTTAAACGGCCACAGCTCAATATTATAGAATCATGGAAGTTATAGTTTTGTTAGACACCACCACTCTGGCATAGAAAGTCAAATAATTTATAAAATTACAGCTCACACAATTTCATAGCACTGAGCCATGCCAATTAAAAGTAATGTCAGACTGAGATGCATCCTTGGTCTCAACGGGAATGGGGTTGGAGAAGTGTGGAAAGGCAGTTCAGTTGAGGGAACTGAAAGAATAATCCCTTGTTCCTCCAGAAGGATTACACATGAGACACACAGAGAGAAAGTCTCTGCAACACATGTAATGCTTATGGAAGAACAATCCATGACATGTCTACTCAACAGGACTTCACTGGGACTAATTCAGAAAGTGTCCCCTCTGACCACTCCCCTCTTGGGAAAAACTGAGAGGGATCTTCTTCTGGATCAACTCAAGAAAATTCTAATGATACCAACAGGTCTCTATAGGAAGAGGAGGTCTCTTTCCTAGAAAATAAATCAAAGGTCGGAGAGTGAGCAAGAACGATAAATTGTTGGGAAAGCCCAGAGAATGCACTACTGTATAGAGGGCTGCGTTTGCATATTTAAATAAGGAAACACCATAACACTATCGTGCACAGAAGTTGAGGAAGGGAAAAAAAAACAGGAGCAGAAGGAAATAACCAGAAGGAAATAACCATGAAAAATTATACATTTTGCACACATTGTTCACAGATGTTATTGCATGATGTAGCTGGTAGAAATGTGTATGTCTGCATGGTTCCAAATCATCCTATGTGTTTTGGAAGCTGCAAAATAAAACCCTCACAGTTTAAAGTTTCTTTGAATTCTTTGAAAATGTTTACTAGGTGGGCTTCTGGGGCCAAAAATCACAATCCTATTTATTTTTGTTTATTCTAACACTTGCTTTGAATGAGCACTAAGCGACAACTTGAGAATGAGCCTCTTCAGAAACACTTCCATGATTAACCAGGGCATTGCGCTTAATGAGTACAATGACCTAATGAATCTGCCCTCCATCAGCACTCTCACCTTTTAGATTGTTCAGTTACATTCTCTGAAGTATAGTATATAGCATGAGTGCCCAAATCTGTTTTTAATTTGCCATTAAGCCTCCAATCTATCCCTCTCCAGTTATAATTGATTGCAAAGAAAACCATTTTCCAGAGCCTTTAATGTCTGCGCAGAAAAGGGAGGAAGAAGAGTGTTTACACTGAACATGCATTCACCCACACCAGAAACATGGTGGGATTTTTTAAGCATTTGCCTAAGTACTTAAAGGAAGCTTGTAAGACTGCAAAAATTGAAAACAAAAGAAGATTTGGGAAATATTACGTCTAGACCAACATTTGTGTTACCAGGTTTCTGGATACCAACCTACAACATAACATGAACAAAGTGATCAATGTCAAAGACAACTTCACCCTTCTTATGCACTATCACCAAGACTAAACTTGGTTCCCAGGTTCCCTGACTATTGACCTCAGCAGTTGAGGTTTCTGGGAGTTGAAGTCCAAAACACCTAGAGTTTGGGAAATAGATAGCAATTCACAAAAACAGTTTCAAAAAAAGCCTGTAAGATCAAGGCAATACAATCTGGACATAGTAAGAGTCTCCAGGTCAGGCTTCTCCACTGATACAAGCAACTAGACATGCTCTTCTAAACTTCAGACTGTCTTTATCTTCAGTTTCACAGCAACAAAATGACTATTTTTCAAACACCAAATGCAGGGTCTGCAACAGTCTGATACCCTCTCATTGATAACCAGTTGCTATTAAAAAGTTGGCAAAATTAACCAATAAGGACTTTGGAAGTATTGAGTGCATACACTTGGAGAGTGCAGGGACATGTATGGATTGGGTGTAAAACAATGAAACAAACATTGTTTGAAATATACCACCCCAAATGTGGGTTGGCAGCCACCATGTAACTAGACAGCTGACAAGATTCATCAAGACCACTGATCATCTCCCTCTCTTGTTGGTTCATGTGTGAACCAATGATGCTGTAAGACATAGTCTATAAAAGATCAGAAGGGATTTTGAAGCTCTGGGAAGAAAACTAAAGGGTCAGAATGTACAGTTTGTTTTTTCATCTCATCTCCCAATTGCACGGCGCAGCCCAGGAACGGTTAGAACAACAGTAGAGGTGAATAACTGGCTCTGCAAATAGTGTCCACAAGAACTATTTGGCTTCCTGAGCCATGGTCGGCTTTTCCAGGAAGGTGGGATTCTGGAACGGGATGAATTGCACCTCATAAAAATTAGAAAGAATGTTTTTGCTGAAAGACTTGTTCAACCTGAGCAATATGGAGTGGACAAGGTAATAGGGGATACGCAACCAAAAATAGGTAAAGTAGTAGTCCAGGAATACATGACTACTCTAAATGAAATCAAATCTCCAGGGCCTGATGAACTACATCTAAGAGTATTGAAGGAACTAGTAAACATCATTTCAGAACCACTGGCAATAATATTTGACAATTCTTGGAGAACAGGAGAAGTCCCAGCAGACTGGAGGAAGGCAATTGTTATCCCTATCTTCAAGACGGGGAAAAAGAGGATCCAAACAATTACCATCCAGTCAGCCTGACATCAATACCAGGAAAGATTTTGCAATAGATCATTAAGGAGGCAGCCTGCAATCACTAAGAAAGGAATGCTGTGATTACTAAAAGTCAACATGGATTTCTCAAAAAACAAGTCATGCCAGACTAATCTTATCTCTTTTTTCGATAGGGTTACAAGTTTAGGAGATGCAGGGAATGCTGTGGATGTTGCCTACCTGAATTTCATTAAGGCATTTGACAAAGTCCCCCATGATCTTCTTGCAAACAAACTAACA